AAAACGAAATCATAATAAACGTAAACAAGAAAGAAAGAAAGCGAACATAATCGTTAAGAAGAAACATAACACGCCAGAGCGCATGGCGCGACAGAAAACATTCAACAAAAGCAAAACCTTTGCAAAAAAATGCAACGATCAGGGTCAGAGTACGCTTATATGAAGAATGTCATCATGAACCAGCGAGCTTGAGAAACCCGCTTATCAGCTTACAACATCTCACACTCACATACCAGTATATATACTCATTACTTATATAAAAGCCCAACTCCGTACCTCCCAGCAATCTTCACATCTCTTGGTCCGTCGGCCCCAACTGATTACTACTCTACTCACTACTCACTCCCATACTCATAATGTTCAACATCAACTACAACAACAAAAAAAAATTAATGGTAAAAAATTTTTCAGTGGAAGTTAACATAATTTATTTTAGATGAATCAAAACTCTCAAAAACCACAAACAGTCTGGTACATCCCGTGGCAGCCGTACTTCGAACAGCTGCATTATCAAGTCGAACGACTGCACGAAACCCTGCACTCCCTGCTTCAAAAGCAACACGACTTGGAAAGAAGATGCACACAGCTAGAATTCTTCGTCTACGCGCTAACATTGTTGGCCGGACTACGACAAATGGAAAATCAACGCCAAAATGAAGAAGAAGAAGAAGAAGAAGAAGAAGAAGAAAACTTCAACGAACATGAATAAATAACATGAATTTAGTCCAATAAAAATGAGTAGTTGCGTGCATGTTTAACACAACACAAGAAAATACAAAAAAAAACAAAAAAAAAATATAGGGAGGCAAAGATTAAATAAAACAGTACAAGGGTTGAAATAGAAGACACAAAAAGAAATTATCCAATTCCCATGGTATGATGGGAAAACCATAAACAACGAAATAAAAGAAAGGATTAACCCAAGAAAATGAATCAGCGCCTTCAAAACACAACATCAGGCGCAAGATGCTAGGCAACACACATCGGAGAGAGACATGAGCATGCAAAAGGCACCGTGAGAAACGGCTCACGTTTGCTAACATCAACATTGTCTACATTTTTTCACAACATATGCGTACGCATGTACGCACTCCGACCACGCCCACAACAATAACAGACATCAAAATTGAGGAAAGGCGCCGTGAGAAACGGCTCACGTTTGCTAACATCAACATTGTTTACATTCTTTCACAACATATGCGTACGCACGAACGGACTAAGACCACGCCCACAACAATCACAAACATCCAAATTGAAGTTGAAAGATCAAGCGAATAGAGTATAAAAAAAGCAAATTTAGGATGAAACTCATTCAGCTAGCATTCAAGCTATCACAACGTCAAAGGAAGACAACTCAGTAGAGCAAGCCTTCATTACGTATTGGGAAGAAAAGCAAGGGGAAAAAACATTAACCATCGCGACAGCACTAGCCCATCAACTTCAGAAACGCTTAACAGAACTGGAATGTCAGGAACTAGCAATCGCCCACTCACATAATAATCTTCCAAATCAATTCAACAACACCCCTCCACAAGCTTATGCCATCTCAACTACTTCGACAATTGACCAAAAACTGTTGAATAATGAAATGAAGGTACCCGAGTTCCATGGCAATCCAGCAGAGTTTGGTCCATTTTGGGAATTGTTTGAGGAACTTGTTTACAAACAACCCTACACGAACATAGCTAAACTCTCAATATTGCTCAACTGCTGCAAAGGTGATGCAGCGAGATCTCTACAAATGATTCCCCGTACAGGAAGTTCCTACGAAAAAGCTATTCAACAACTCAAACAGCAATACAAAGATCCCAAAAGAATCACTATTCAGATGATCCGCCAACTCAAAGCAATGAAATCTTGTCCAAATGAACCACGAGCATTACGCAATAATCTCAGTGACATCCAAGCCATTATTGCCACTAACCGAAGACAAGGAGAAGTAGTGGACTCCCATATATGACAACTATGGTCATCGAAACATTCCCCATTTGCGTCCAAGAGGAAATCGCCCGTAAGGAATTTGACAATGAGCGTCCATGGACTATGGGATCCCTCATCAACAGTCTAACAACAATCGTCAATAGAAAAGAACACATCCAAATTTGCCAAGAAAACCTTAGAGACCAAGCTTCCATCTATTTAACCCACACACGAGCTCATCCATCAATCTCCTGCATCGGTTGCGGACAGAATCATAGGTTTAAAACATGCGATATATACCGAGCACCTCAACAAAAGGTCCATCATTTCAAAAACGTACAAGCATGCTGGAAATGTTTCAGCATGCACCACAGGTCATGCAGCAAACCAAATTGTACTAATTGTAATGGAAATCACAACAGTATTTTGTGTCTTCGTAGGCTCTCAAACAAACCATTCACCTACACCATGAATACGAATGGCAGAAACCCATCACCTAAACAAGCAGCATATTCCAGACAACCATCCCCCAAACGTAGCAAACCACGGAGATCATCACCTTTTCACCATAAGACACCCCCATTCTTTGATAAGCAACAAGCGAACCGTTTTCCTATGAACAGACGACGACGCTCGCGAGATACTCATACCCCAGAACAAACCCACTTTTCACCGCATCCTTACCCTAAGAACAACTCTCCTGCACGAAAAGAAACAACTACACCACCACGAAACAAGGTCACATTTGCTCCCCTACCCCCACAACATATTAAAACAAACATCTATTTTCAATATCAGGCAGATTCAGACATCATCAGCAATAGTACGGTAAGCACGAATACCCGCTTAATGGTCATACAAGTCCAAGCTGAAAACGAACTCAACAACAAAATGGAACATGCCTACGCCATACTAGATTCGGCGTCAGATCAGTCGTTCATACCCTCCTCCTTAGCAAGCCGACTACAACTAGACACTGAATACGAAACGATCATAAACGTAAACACATTCGGTGGACGCGCTGAAGTTAAAAAAGTAAAACACATTACAGTCGCGCTCCTCAACGACAACGGCCATTCAATAGAAGTATCCTTACTTACCGTTGACACGTTAACACATATACTCACACTACCACAACTTCCGATGGAAGACCAACTCTTCCTATCACAAACACACCCTCACTTGGAGAAAGCATTATCTCAAGATTCTTCCATGGATATTATCCCCGATATCCTATTAGGAATCGATTACATTCACAAAATACTACTCACTAATGAACCCATAATTTCATTACCCTCAGAATACTTCGTAACACCTACTATCTTCGGTCCTGTAATATCAGGAAACTCTCGCAACCATTACACTCATCCAACAAAACTATGCCAACATATAAACACCATCGATCTATACACAACGACAACACACACAGACTACTCAGATCTTTGGAAACTACCTGGTATAGGCACAGAAGAACTACAAACTGATGAAGAACTCAACAGACAAATTATTTCCGACTTCTACTCCACAGTACAAGACGTAAATGGTAAAATCCACATTGAGTTTCCCTGGAAACCTAACAAATTCCGCCTAGAAAACAACTATAACCTTGCTCTCAGCAGTTTACACCAGCTATATAAAATGAAAGACAAAAATCCTAAATGCTGGGAAGAATACTGTGCCATCATTAAAAAACAACTTGGTAAAGGATTCGTAGAAGACATCCCCGCTGAATCGCAACCTTCCGGTCCCATATACTATATACCCCATCAAGCAGTGATAAAGTCCACTAGTGCAACTACTAAGACCAGAATCGTGCTCGATGCCCCATCAAAAATGAAAGGTCAATTGAGCCTTAATGACGTTATCTACCAGGGACCTTTGATCTTATCCAATTTATGTGGTATTCTTTTACGATCACGACTCGGCTCCAAGATACTGAAAGCCGACGTAGAAAAGGCATTCCATATGATTTACCTACAAGAATCAGAACGTGACTTCGTTCGATTCTTATGGTTAAAAGACGTTAACGTAAATCCTACACTGAATAATATACGCATACTCCGCTTCTGCAGGCTCCCATTCGGCATTAACACTTCACCATTCCTGTTGGGTATATCAATACAATATGGACTCGAACAACAAAAACACGAGGATAAACTAACCATCAAACAATTAATCGAGAATTTATATGTGGATAATATCCTGATGTTAAACTTATGGTTACAGTCCCTTCTCAACACCTATCATACTTGTAAAAAGATCTTTGCTAACATGTCCATGGATCTTCGGCAATTCATAACAAATGATGAGAATTGCAACTCACACATAGCTGACGAAGACAAAATACCAACCTCTTCTGTCAAAATTCTAGGTATTCCTTGGGACTACACAAAAGATACTTTTACACTCTCATGTAAGTTGACACAGCAAATCCGACAAAACGTAAAATTCTTCAAGCCACACATTCTACTTTCGACCCTCTTGGATTTCTGTTACCCATTCTCCTTCCAGCAAAACTTCTTCTCCAGGATCTATGGAAACAAAAACAAAATTGGGACGAGCTACTCCCTCAGGAATACAATAAAGTGTGGCACAACATATGCGAGCACGCGAACGGTTTCACAGTTCAATTCCCCAGGAACGTTCTCAGTCCTCAAGACCATACCCAATACTCAATTCACTCATTCGTNGACGCCTCTATTCGAGCATACGCAACAGTAGTGTACCTTCGTTCGGTAACCACTAAAGGTACGTATTCTAGTACAATACTCATGGCTAGACAACGTCTAGCCCCAATCAGAAATAAGTCCATAACAATTCCACGACTAGAACTGCTCGCACTTTTGATAGGAACGCGCCTCATTAAGTTCATTCTCAGAGAAATCGAATTAAAGATATCAACGATCAACATCTACAGCGATTCTCAAGTCGCCCTCCATTGGATACAGTCCAACTCGAACAATGGGATCTTTGTAGACAATCGTTGTGAAGAAATACGAGAATCACTCCAATCATGGAAAGAAAACATCAACCAAACTCAACTATATTATATACCATCGGAACAAAACCCTGCAGACTACGCTACGAGAGGACTCGCAAAGGAACAAATGTCCCATCAAATATGGTGGACAGGACCAACATTCTTAAGACAGCAAGACAAAAGTTGGCCAGAATTTCAAGACTTTACCTGGCACACTCACGCGGACACAGAGCAGAGCGACCAGCCCATTGTATTAACTATTTCTTCAAACATACCATCTGGATCCTGTCTCTTCATTACAAAATTCTCATCACTGAAAACATTGCGACAGGTAACTGCTCTTATTTTAATGTTTATCAAACATGTCCTATATGATAAACTAACGATGGACAGTAAAACAAGGTTATCCTCTCACCTACCAGAACTAGACCATATCTCCTCGAACCACCCATTAACCTCGCTGCAGGTAGGTGACATTGAAAGTGCGGAATCTTTGCTGACCAAAATTATGCAACGTAACTTGACAAAGGAAGACCAGCAAAAGTGGAGCCAACTCGGTCTATACAAAGACGAGCAGAACATCATTCGCTGCCGAGGAAGAATCCAAGCGAAGCATCTACCTAGAGACACAATAGAGCCCATCCTTCTTCTACCTAACCAACACTTAACACATTTAATAGTTCGAGACACTCGCATACGTTGTGGACATCAAGGGGTCAATGGCACACTGGCCAACCTACGCCTTCGTTATTGGCTTCCAAAAGGAAGACAAGCAGTACGAAAAATTTCAAAACAATGTCTGATTTGCAAACGCTGGAATGGAAAACCATATTTTTACCCAAATTCACCTCCTCTACCATTCACACGCACACAACCTTCACGTCCCTTTTCTCACATAGGTATAGACTTAGCTGGCCCGTTCTCGATTATAGACTCGGATAAAATCAAATATAAAAGGTGGATATTTTTAGCAACATGCATGGCTACTCGAGCAATTCACTTGGAAGTCACTAACAACCTGACCGCCTTAGAACTTATCAACATCTTACGAAGGTTCATATCTCGAAGAGGAACACCGCACTCATAATTTCAGGCAACGCCACCAACTTCAAATACAGCAACGAAATTCTTTCCATGGAAGACACAGACACTGTACGCGTCAATACCACCATCCAAACTTTCCTGACCAACGAAAAGATCCGATGGAAATTCATTACGCCGCTTTCACCATGTAAAGGCGGATTTTATGAAAGATTGATTGGCATGATAAAACTAACTCTTAAACGTGTATTAACAAGAAAACTACCCGACGAAACTACATTCCTCACAACAGTATTGGAATGTGAAGCAATGGTCAATTCCAGACCTCTGGCATGTGCAGGAAGTACCTTAGAATACTCATTAATAATCCATCCGATAGATATTCTGTTTCCTAAAGCCAATCTCTTACCATTTTCAGGTACGATCACAATTGATGATAACCACGACACGGAATACCTCCCTTATGTTTCCACAAAAGACCAGGCCATACAGTACTACCGCACACAGATGACCTACTTAAAATGCCTATGGCATGAATGGCATAACACTTATCTCCTGGAACTACGCAATTTCCATCAACACAGAATCAAGCAGAAAAGCTTTACCCGCACACACCCGAAAATCGGCAGAAGTAGTCCTTGTCATGGATGAAAAACTAACACGTCTCGAATGGCCCTTAGGCCTCATAACAGACTTAATCACCGATCAGGACGGAACGGTACGGTCCGTCAAGTTGCGAACTTCAAAATCAGACATCGAGCGATCAGTAAACGTGCTCATCCCCTTGGAATTGGATAGTGAAAACGAAAGTAAAGCGAATCCACAGGAACACAACAACATCACCGATAACGATTCAACCAATAACAATACCATTACATCTAGTAGCATCGACTCATCCAACGACAACCCTTCCACGAAGCAACGCACTCGCCCAATGCTCCCTCGTAAAGCCAAACTCGACAAAAATTACAGCACGTATGCCACGACGTCTCACACTGAAGAATCACAAACGCCTTACCGTCTTTCTTCTCTTTGGAAGCACTGGCTCACACTTACCGTAACAATTACATTAATTCAAGCTGCAAACGCAATGAATTACGCAAACCCTCGACTGAAATGTCCAACAGGAGGAATACATATACGAATGCTGTACCCTACCGATCGCATACAAGTGTGCGGTAATGACTACTGCATAGAAATCCCTGACCCTAGCCAGAACATAACAGTTCAATTCCCTCCTGAAATTACTTTACATTCATATCATGTTACAACAAAACAATAACCAATAATCGAACACACGCAACACACTAGGCATGCCCACCAAGCCCATTTTGTGAACAAATCACTTGCAATTTCTGTACGCAAATGATCTCCAATCCGGAATGTTGGCCCCGAATCGCAATAGCTATCACAGCCATCCTAATCTATATCATTATAATAACAGCCTTCGTCAGCTTCACCTTAATACGCAAATCGTTACGATGTCTCCGTCACATCCGCGGAAAAATCAGTCACATGATGCCAGCCTACCTTCTCCGCGCACACAAACAAAATGCAAACAAACATTCAGATGACGACGTTGCTTTGTTAGAATTAGATGAAGTCAACACAAAGTGGAAAACCACTACAATGATACGTCTACTAACAATACTGATGTGGACCGTCAGTGTCGCACACAGCTGTCAACAAACAACAACAATACCGTCAACTGTATCTCAATGTAACCCCTCAGAAACCAACTGTCACAATCAAACAACTCTTTACACTCAACTCAATCAAATGCAACCTTCCTTGTGTATTCAACTCAAATATGGTAATCAAAACCTTAATCTCATGCGAATTACTCTCAAATCCTTGATCCTTCGATGTCGAAAAGAAACCCTATATTACACAAGAAACACTATCACCAAGGTAGAATATAGCAAGCGCTGTCCTCATATGGGTACATGTACGGGACTCAAATGCGCAAAAATCAGCCCTGAAACATTAGTCGTAGAATTAGAAGAAGCGAACAACTACACAGGAATAACGTACTGCTCCGAATCTTGTGGAGGACTGGGTTGCTCTTGTGGCTACCCTTAATCAGGATGCCTGTTTTACAGGATATACCATGTCCCAATCGACGACGATCTCTTTGAGGTCTTCCATTGCCCATCATGGTCAGAAACTGTTCTACTCGAATTACAGATAAATGGAGCTAATCAAATCTCTCAAAAATTTGAAATCAAACCTTACACCAAGAAAACAATTGCCAATCTATCCTTGGAAGTAACAAGCTCTTCCTACGCACCTTTCTCCATCCTAAATAAACGATTTATCACCAACGGACATATTACAGCCTTCCTACGTCCAGAACATGAATTCAGCTATGCATGCAATTACAATTCTCGAAGACCACAGAATAAAAACACTACTCCCAACTGCGCAATCAAAGACACCTGTAGATGCAGTCCTGCGGAAGATTATGTCACTTGCTATTGGTCTAATAACAACAGTTCTCGAATCACACAGTTATCCAATACATTGCCCCTACCCTTGCCTAGCGGGATCGTGACCACTAAAGGCACATATAATAAACCCATTCTAGAAACAAACGCAATAGCAGCTGAACTGACACTTTTCTTGAACTCTCCAATAAAAGACTTATCACAAACTATTCAAAACTTCCGATGTCAGGTTTTCCCTAGACATCTCCTCGGCTGTTATAATTGCCTTAAAGGGTCTATGGTCACGATTTTCTGCAAAGCAGATATCACCGAAGCAACAGCACAACTCGTATGTGGAACACAAAAATTTACCCTATTATGTACAAAAGGCGGAGAGTACAATCACGTTCTTTTATTTTTCAATACCGCCAAAGTTAATGAAATTTGTAAAACCTACTGAGGTACACATATTACTGTATTTAAACTCGAAGGAACACTCAATTATGTCAATGGAATGAAGCCGTTCTGGAATTACATCCACGTATGGAACACTAACACAACTAACGAATATTCGGACTTCTCCATCGAACTAGCCCTACCGGATTTCTCTCACTTCCTTCACACATGCAAATAATTCTTCCTATACTCGCTCACTATCCTTATACTACTCATCACCGCGCTATCATTCAGCTGCAATCTGCTTTCGAAAAACAACACAAGAACAAGAAAAAATTCCACTATTAATACTCTCGCCACATCACTTCCCCCACTGAGAGTACTACTCCTTATCTACACGTTTCTCAAACTTGCAATATCATCTACTTTCTTCCTACTCCGCCTCCCTCTACGGCTGATCGCGTCGTCACGACTGCTGAAACACTAGTATCTCTCATCATCAAACGACACCACCACGCGAATCGCATCTCTATCATCACGACGAAGCACCTACCAGCAGCTAAGACAACATCGACTTCACGACCACAATGGACATCTGACTGGTTTATAATACATCGCTTACTTATTTACCTTTGTGTATAGTATAGATTTCTGTGTCTCTTTTGTACGCATGATTTACTTAATTCTATGTAGTAGATGATGGCAAACGCAACCTTGTTTTCGAAAATAAAACAATCACCTAATTCAAAGGTGGCGGGGAGGATGCAAACGGCAAAACCTGCGCGTTTTCATAACTTCTTCGCCGTGTGGAGTGTCATGACTCTTCGTCATGATTACGAGGAAGCACGTGAACACCTTCATCAATCAATCAATACTTCCAGCAAGGCTAAAAAATGCAGAAATTTCGCTTGTTCCCACACCAGAGTACAAAATTGCTGGAATTTCGTATGATTCCCATACCAAGGACCAAATGCACCGCCCACCGGGGCCAGTGTATAAGCCGCCCATTTTTTGGGTATAAAAGGCGCAGTTAGTGCCAGTCCGGCAGTTTTCAAGAGTTCTCGAGAGTTCTCGAGTTCCTGACAGTTCTCGGGCTCGGAGCTCTCGGCTCTGCTCTCTGCGGCTCTCTCAAGCAGTTCCTGACAGTTCGGCAACTCCACTGCTCTCAACTCAAAGTTCCTCGCCCTCCGCTCACCAACAACCCAATTGCAAGGGAGACAGACAATCGTTTCCAATGAACAACGAACAAGAGCGGTACGGTGCAACAAATCGAAAATTGCTGCCTGTCGGACTCACCACCAGCAATTCCAAAACGAGACGAACAAGGTTGCACAATTCTCTGACTGTTTGCTTTGTAATGGTACGAATTGTAGTCATGACTTGTTGACCCAATAAATATTGAAATAAATATCCCATCGAGCATTCTACCACCGAGCCGTCGAAACAGTAACCAGTAATTATCTAGAATGAAGATGAGCCCCATCACGCATTGCCTGAGTAGAGAAGCGATTATTAATTAGCAATGCCAGCAGTACTAGTACTGTAGCGCAACCACTTCATGAAATTCAATTACCGAATAAATTTGTTAAGATTTCCGAATGTACGATGGAAACAGTAAGCACTCAACGCTGTTGCTTTAATTATTCTCTCAGGATTAGAAAACGAGAGTTATCTATACTACATTTTTGCATTCGAGTGATCCGGTTTACTTCCCACTCAATTTGACGCAAGCTTTTGCCTGAGCCGATGCGCAGGACACTAAATACCCTCGCAAACTCTAACCATTCAGATGCATTGATCCCTCGCAAACTCTAACCATTCAGATGCATTGATACAACAGCGAAGAGAAAGAAGTTTTAAATGAACCCAACATAACAGAAGGTCCACCACCTGAACCCAACATAACAGAAGGTCCAACATCTGCGTCTGTAAGTAGGTAGCGGCAACCTTTGTAGGCAACTGTTTCTCTCTCCGCCCTGTTGTCGTACCATGTAGCCTAGTCACGACCAGCCTGAAAATCCCTTAGTGAGAGGATTGTCAGTGAAGGAGGCACGTGCATAAAGGATAAAGGATAAAGTTTTCGGCGTTAATCAATCCCCTCTGAGGGATGCGTCCCTGCACTCGACTTCCATTCATAATCGTAATGGCGCATAAGTGCGTATTTGACCTATATAATGACTTGCGGTGGCCAGCAGGCATGTGCATATTCGACATTAAAGTTTTGAAACAGCACGCGATCTCAAACCATAGCTGTTGGTATGCAGCAAACTTGTTGTTGTTGTTTGATTCCCAATTTCTTTTTTGAATGGCTCTTAGCATCAGTGCGTGATATAACCGAGTGGAATGACTTATTTTTATTCTCTTGCCACAATTATTCGGTTCTAATACATACTGTTAGACGCCACAGATTGAATGTTGTTCACTGACACATTGACCACAAATTCAGGCAGTTTTGAATTTGGTCGTGTCTCTCCTGTCTTAAACTTCCAGAATCTCCCCAAGACAACATGAAATTCACTTGATCTGCGTATGAATGTGTGGCTACGTTTTCTGAAAGTACCAAAAATAATAAAACCGAACTTGCTCTATGGACCTCTGGTTGCAGCGGCACCAAGCCATACAGTGTATCCCGAAGCTCAGGCCTAGTGTAAATTGCAGTGTATTTGAGCTCCTTCTGAATTCACAAAACTTCCTGTGACTGCAGAAAATTCTTCGCGCTGTCAATGAAACAATTTCAAACGATGGAACATTGAAGCTAGAGTGGTCAGGGCGGCTAAATCGGCACATCCCGAAAGCAGGTCGCACAACATCTCCTTCTCTGTCCCAACT